CCCCCCCCCCCCCCCCGCTGGACTGACTCTCCAGGCGCGTCCGGGAATGCGGCCCACGGACCCCGTGAATGCGGGTCGAGACTGGCGGCGCGAGCAGGCCCGGCCCGCGGGCTCACTCACCGGGGCCCAGGAGGTAGCCGGCGCTGTTGAGGGTCCAGCCTCCGCGGCCCTAGACAGACGGAGGGGCGGGGCTCAGCGGGCAGCGGGGTGGCGGGGGTCCCAGGCCGGGACCCCAGCCGCCCCCCCCCCGCCCCCCCCGTCCGCGGCGAGCCTGGGCCCCTGAGCGCGGAGACGCAGGCCTCCCGGGATGGCGCCGGGGGGCGAGGGGGCCTTCGCAGGCGCCGCCGCAGACCCTCTCCACACCCACGCACCGCGTGCACACGCACGCCCACCCCGCGTGTGGGTCACCCCCGGCTGCACCACGGGACCGACGTTCGTGGCGGGTTTGCTACGTGCCGGTCCGTTGCGACGACAGGCCCTCGCTCCGCACCCCTCAGGGTTTCCGGACGGGCCCAGCGCGGGGGGCGGGGGGCGGGGGGCCCGCGGGGCGGCACCGGCTGCGCCCCGCGCCCGCCCTGCTTCCAAGTCCTCCACATCGTCCCCACGAGGACCAGTCGGGCTGGAACTGTCACTAGCCTCGTTTAATGGAACTTTCGTTGGCCGGTGCCAGCTTGCTTAAACCAGGCCAGGAAGCGGCTAGAGCTGCCTTCAAACCCGGCGGATTTCAGACTCTTCACGACCACTGTACCCGATATTAACGCCTCAGTTTTCCCTTCTGTAAAATGGGGAGTCCTGAGACTGAACTGCTGGACGGAAGTGGCGTAGCCCGGTTCCCGGGGCCAGGAAGGCACTCGCACCCACCGACCCACTTCTGACCTGCCTGGCACCCTGGTCAGAGGGTCACCATAAGCCCCTTCTGACAGAGGGGCCAGGGCAGCTCCAAGACGCTGGGGCGCCAAGCCTGGATCACTGGGCTGGGTGATGCCCAGGCTGACGAGCCTCTTAGGAGGAGCTCGGTTAACCCTCACGGTGCTGTGATCTCACCAAGCACTTGGAGGGACGTAGAGATCAGTTAGGCAACTTGCCAGGAGGCATGCAGCCAAAAGGTGGGAGCCCGCATCCCCAACCCCACCTCCCAGGGGTGCGGGTCAGCCCCCAGGCTGGGCAGAAACCCTACGGGCGGGACCATCCCTGCTGAGGCTGGAATGGCAGCGAGCTCTGCCTTTGAAGGCATGTTTTTGTACCTCGGGGCCATGCTAATCCTTAGGACGTTTGTGCTTCCTGACCTCTGGGTCGTGGGTTCAACAGACCCCCGCCACCCCGCACCCTGGGCCAGGGTCCCCACAGCCCTGGCTGGGGCTAGGCGGGGACAATTAGAAAGCTCTTCTAGGAAGGCAGTGACGGGTGGGGAGCGGGGCGCACAGGCGCGGACGGCGGCAGCGAGGTGTCACCTGGTGGACGGGTGCAGAGGTGGGGGCCACCGCCAGGCCGAGCAAGACAGCCAGGCGGAGGACCAGACGGACAGACGGAGCCATCTGCGGGCCGGAAGGACGGGCGCTTGAACTACAGGAGGCTGTCAAGAGAGGGTGGTGAATGTGTTTATTTATTTCTAGTTTCATTAAGGTATTACTGCTCTTTAAGAAATTTCCTGCCTTTGGGGCACCTGGGTGGCTCAGTCGGTGGGTTGAGCGTCTGACTTCAGCTCAGGTCAGGATCTCATGGTTTGTGGGTTCGAGCCCTGCGTGGGGTTGTGCTGACAGCTCGCAGCCTGGAGCTGCTTCGGATTCTGTGTCTCCCTCTCGCTCTGCCCCTCCCCTGCTCACGCTGTGTCTCTCTCAGAAATAAGTAAACATTTAAAAAATTAATATGAAAAAAGGAAACTCCCTGCCTTTAGCACACACATCTGGAGGAATTCCGGCAGAGGCACACACCCAAGATATGTGGGCGGCATATCCCACCTTCAAACATCTCCTTGCATTTCTTTTCAAGTGTTTGTTTTTTCGTTTGTTAACATGAGATCCGTCCCGACATATTTTTTCCTCTCAGTCTTACTGAGATACAAGGACCTGCAGCAGCACGTGTAAGGGGTGCAGAACAGCGGACTCACACGCACACACCGGCGAGAGGGTTGCCCCACACGCCTGGCACCCGCCAGACACTCACCTCGTGTAGGTGAGGAAAGCATGTTCTCTGCATGGTGAGAACTTTTAGCATCTACTCTCTTCCCCTGGGCGCCTTTAAACACACCACCTGGCAGCGTCCGTGACAGCCACCAAGCCGTCCATCCAGTCCCCAAGACGTCCGGGTCCCACACCTGAGCTCCTGCGCCAGCCCCCGCCCCCCCCCCCAACGAACCCCCATCCGATCTCTTCCCCCGAGAGGATCTGGGTTTTTCTCCGAGTCCACACGGAAGTGAGATCACACTCTTCTTCTTCTGTCTGACTTTTAACAAACCGTAAAGTACACGACACCGTCGAAGGCTAACCTCTGTGTCTTTCCGACTTCAGTATGACAGAAAAATAAAACCGAGGCTTCGGAGCTCTTCGCCGTTTTGTGAGGCTCCGTTCTGGAACGTGTTTGTTTCAGTAAAAAACAAAGACGGTTGAGGGAGGCGCGAAGGAGGCAGGCACACAGCAGGGTGCTGAGCGCGCAGCCCCGGAGCCCGGGGTGCCAGCGGCCCGAGTTTGAGAGTCACAGAGGCGTTCACCCCTCTCCATCCTTCCGAACCCCAGTTCTCCGCCCCTGGCTGCCCTCCCGCCTCCCCCCTCCTCTTACCTCAGTTGGCAGGTGCCCCAGCTCCCTCAGGGTCCAGCTCCTCCACGGCAGCTTTTATGCCTCCTGAGGAGAAAGGAGGCGGGCAGGGCGGGGGGGGGGGTCAGCAATCAGGGGGGAGATGGGAGAGAGTGCCAAGGCTGGAGGAGGGGTGAGGCTTCACGCACACCAGGGGCTTTTATGAGCTGAGCTCAGAACAGGACACTTCCCACAGGGAAGCGTTTCTCTGCCCTGCCTCGGTTTCCCCTGCAGACCGTCTACTCTGAGACGTATGCCGCCCTTCCTCCTCCCTTCCTGCCCCCCTCTCAGGAGACTGTGCTTCAGGCTCTGCGTTTACTCGAGGCTCCCCCAGCCCGGATCTGCGTGGGTCTGGGGCCCAGCAGCTCATCTGCATCCACCACCCCACAGCGCTGGGCTCCCTGTCGTCTCTCCCTCCACGTCTCCACGGCTCTCCTGCTGGTCTGCTTCTCCCCTGCATCGCACCTGTTCATCTCCGTGGTGATGCGTCTCCCCTCCCTGGAAAGTAGGCTGAGTGAGGGGCGTCAAGGCGCCTTGCTCATCAGGACACTGCTGTTCCTGGGGGGGACATTTGGCCACGCCCACAGGCTATCCCCCCTCATCATGACTTCGGGGCGCTTCTGGCATCCTGGGGGTCCTGCAGCGCACAGGGCGGCCGCACAGCGAACGACCCAACCCCCGGGGTCAGTAGCACCACGCATGAGGAAGTCTGCAACAGTCCCTAAAACGTGCCTGGAACTCAGTCAGCATTTGTTGGATGAACAAAAGCTGTGTGTGTGTGTTTGTGCGACCTCCTCTGTGAGTGTGTTTGTGTGTTTTTTTAATCTGTTTCTCTCCCCCTTCGCCCCAGAGATCAGCAGGTTTCCAGGGGAAGGAGCCCTGGCATCAGGGAAGGGCACGTACCCCTGGCTCTGCCCTCTGCTTCCTGGAAGTCCTGTTCTCACCAGACCCGGTTTGCGCATCTGCACCACGCAGAGCTCCTCCGCACCTTCTTCCCGTCTCATTTCAACCCCATCCCCACAGAAGGGGCCTTCCTCATCTCAGTTATAAAATGAAGACCCTTGGGGGCGCTTGGGTAGCTCAGTTGATTAAGCTTTCGACCAGCTCAGGTCATGATCTCATGGTTCGTGGGTTCGAGCCCCGCGTCGGGTTCTGTGCTGACAGCTCAGAGCCTGGAGCTGCTTCAGATTCTGTGTCTCCCTCTCTCTCTGACCCTCTCCTGCTCTCTCTCTCAAAAATAAAAATAAACATTAAAAAAATGAAATGAAGACCCTGGACCATGGGTAGAATGAGAGCAAGAAACAGGACCACAAAGACGCCTGTTTGCTCCCGTTTCCATTTCCGGGCATCCGTGGCCTGTCTTCTGGAGGAGAAGGGGAGGATGTGACAGGAAGGTGTAAATGGCTTTGCTGGGAAAGAGGGTGAAGGAGGGGGG